GGCCGCCCGGGTCGCCGCCGCCTCCATGACACCCGCGCACCCGCCTCTGCACGCCCGTCGCGTCACAGGCCCGAAGGCCAATCACAGGCCGCGCCCGCCCCCGCCGCCGCCCTCAGCCAATGGGGAGTGCGCTGGGCCTGGAGAAGGCTCGCGTTGGACGCCGGGCGCTCTGGGTTCGTGGCTCTGCGGCCGGGGCTTTGTAGCCGGAGACGGGCCGGGGGCGGGGCCTAGATGAGGCGGGGCCTTGAAGGGGCGGGGCCGGGGCGGGGCCTATGGCAGTTCTGAGCCCAGGGTTCCAGGAGGCTGCCGTCTGCGTGCTCTTGCTCTATCCTGCACGTTGAGGTTCATCTCGGAGAGATTAGCAATCTCCTGATGGTCTCAAAGTCAGTAAATGGTAGAAATGAGATTCTAACTCCGTCCAGCTAAACCCTAATAAAAGATAATTTTCAGAGAAAAGGTAAAATTTTGATTCTCATTCAGATATAAATATCGACAAGTGTTAAAGATGTTATTCCACTCGTAATCAACAAAGGGACCAGACAGATGTCATAACCGGTTCAGAAGGGACTCTACCCATTTGTAGATGAGAAATATGGAAGTGAGTTTGTAAGTGGAGGCAGAACTAGTCCTTCCGCAGGGTGGGGCTGGGGGGAGATCATGCAGCCTCTACTGGACAAGACAATCTTGCAGGGCTCTCAGTTCCTTACAAAGAGCTGCTAAAAAAAAAAAAAAAACAGAAAGGCCGGAATTAGAAGATAACCTGCAGGGTGTACAGTATGTAGAGAATGCAGTTTTCCCAGGAAACACAGATTTTTTTTTTTTTTTATTTTACACCCTCAAGCCTGTGCTCTGCAGTAACTACAACTGCCCCTTCTACAGCTGGGAGCTTCTGCTTCTGTGCTGTGGCTGCTGCCCCACGCCAAGTTGACGGGGCCTGTTTATTATTGTCACAGACTTTCAACTTTATGAGGCCCCAAGCTTCCATAAACGCTGAGGGTGGGGAATATGACTAAAGTTATTGAATATGGGCCTGGTCGCGTTGCAGGCCAGCCGGTCAGGCAGGGAGGGCGCATCACTCAGAAGCAGGAGACTGTAATCCGCAGGAAGCAGAGGGCTGGCGGAGCCTTCATCTCTGGGGCTCTCTGTGGGGCTTCAGCCCTGGGAAGTTTGCCGTGAGAAACAGGAGAGGGTCACCAAGCTCACTCCCACTGTGCTCAGGTGAGCACAGGAATGGAATCTTGAGTTGGTCTGCATCTAATCAGGTGTTCCCAAGCCCTCACCTATAGCTTAGCAGTACAGTAAATAAATGAACTTTTTATCCTACACAAGTTAAGACACAGTTCAAAGGGATACTTTCAACAGCCCTCGTAATGCTCAGTCTCTGGGAAAAAAATACGCCCAGTCCTTCCTTCTCATCTGCTCCTTTCTAAAGAGTTAGAGTCTGGTCTAGCGGGGGCAGGAAGGTGAAGGTCATTCTGCACACCTCTTGCAACAGAGTCAAATCTTATGGCCTCTGCGTTCATCCCTGTGGCTCCTGGTCTCTGGGGGTCAGACCAAGTCTGGAGTGACCACGTCTGTCCCAAGAATGATATTGGTTCCTGCTGGGGCTCCAGCCCCCTCAGAGGTGTGGCTGGGCCCCCCTAAAATCCTAATCTTGTAGGGTTTCCATATAAAATACAGAACACCCTGTTGAATTTGAATTCCAGATAAATGATGAATGGGGCATCGGACATGCTTATACTAAAAAATTATTCCTTGTTTTTTTAAAGTTCACATTAAACTAGGCGCCTTTAAAAATCCTGCCTGCTAAATCTGGTAGTCCTCCCTGTAAATCCACACTACAGCCTTGTGACAGACCCACCTTGCCCTGCTGTGGCGGCTCCCTACACCTCCTGGAAGGCTCTCGGCTGTCCTGGGTTCTGCCTACACCAGTACAGGAAGCCAGGTTGGTTCAGAACAGCTGAGCCTGGGGACCTCCTGCACCTGACCATACTGTGCCACCAGCTTCATGTCGCAGGTGGCCTTGGGTTATGTCCATTGTGTACTGTACCGACACTCAGCCTAGCCAAGTGGGAGAACTGGGCTTACACCTGTGTGCTTCCCCTCCTTTGCCCTCTCCCTTGCAGCCTCCGGCAATCGCTGAGGAGCCAGAAAAGAGAACCAGGTGAGCACATGCCCTGGCCACTTCCCCTTGTGTTATTACTGTAACTGCACAAACATTTGTTAAACGTAAACTGTGGAAGCCTGGTGTTTTGGACTGAGCTCCTGCACTAGGCCCCAGCCGACCAGACCAAACCAATATGGAGTCACTCATGCTAAATGCCATGCAAACTGAAGGAAGCAGATAGATCTCAAAACAGACCAGTTTTTCCTGAAAACAGGCGATTCCAGTCTACCTGAGTAGAGGGGTCTGCTTTAAACATTACAAGAAAAGTAAGCTGAAATAACCTGATGCTAACCAGTCAGCTTTTTCTTTTTCTTTTTTTTTTTTTTTTAGAGAAAATGAAATTGTATTAATATTATTTTTTACATTCTAGAATGTTGTTGCAGAGCAGTTGGGAGGGAGGGGAGAGGGGAAAGGGGAAGGAAATAGGATGGAAGAAGGTGGGAGGAGGGGCTGGATTGAGGCCTGTGGCACCCCCCTGATTCCCATAGGGGAGACTGGGGGGCTTCTAGCAGTGGCTTGGTCATTGCTGGGCTGGGTACAGATGTCAAGGGGCTGTGGAAAAGCCCTCACCCCCCACTGTCCCAGCTCGGGAACCCGGGGCCCTTTTTGCTGCAGCTTGGTGGTTGTCACTGGGCTGGTTGCATTGAGGGGATGTGGCTGAGGCCTGAGGCCCCCACCCTCAGGTTAGTTGTAGGTGTTGGAGGACATTTCTGAGGCCCCTGGCCCTCCCCTCTTTCTGGCTTGGTAGCCCAGGGGGCTTCCGGTCCTTCTATGTGTTATAGGTGTTCTTTGGTGAAAAGAGACCTTTACTAGTTAACATGAAACTTTGTCTCTGGTTGTGGGTACTTTGTTTTTTCTTTCAGTTCCGTGTTGGATTATTTGCTGTTCCCACCACTTAAACTCTGTGCTGGAACTAATTTGTTGTCCTTTGCTTACTTCTAAAATGGGGAACTTCCTATGGGGACCAGTACTTGAGCTGTGTGGTTGAGCTAAATTGCTGCTTTGCTGCTGACTCCCTGGGGAAGGCTTTTGTGCAGTTCAGGTTTTAATGGTTGACTTTATAGGTACTTTTGGCTCTTGAGAGATCTGAAACTCTGGTCTGGGCCTGAGTCTTTTTGTCAAACTGCACCCTGTGAAAATTCTATATTCCTGACCAGTCTCCTCTGAGTGGTCCCTCACTGACTGGGGTGCAGATCAGCTGTCCTTGCTCCAAACACTTCCCCTGGGGTGGGCCTTGCACAGGTCCCTTGCCATTACTCACCGGCCTCTGAGTGGCTCCTTTTTTTCAGTTGTTGTGGCTCCTTGCTCCTATGTGGGTCCACGGGAACCCTATTAGTGGTCTTGCTGGCCTGGGGGCCACCAAGACCCTCTTCTCCCCTGCTGCCTCCAAGCAACTTCATCTGGAGGCACAACTGTGGCTTTTGCCGGCTCCTGCTCCATGCGCTCAGCAGCTCCAACCTGGATGTGGCCGGGGCTCGAAATGGTCAGAAAGGTTTTTTTCTTTCTCTCATCGTGGCTTCTCCCACCTTCATGCATTCTGTAGGTCTCTCCTCCTCTTCCCCTGAGATCTAGCAGCCCCAGCTTGGCTGTTGTTGCTTTTTTACAGTTGTAAATTAGTTGATTTGTGGGAGAGAGTGACACTGGGTACCGTCTATTCTGCCATCTTGACCGGAAGTCCCCAGCTCACGTGTCTCACTGTTCTGCCATTGCCCCAGGGGAACACCCCTTCCTTCCTTTTTGAAGCATGGAGGCTGCCCTGACTCTTGAATTGCAAATAAATACCAATGAGATCTAGAACTAAATTTGTTGTAATTTCACTTTTTGACACATTACATTCATTTTCTCCTTTGCAAAATTTAAAGCATTGCAGATAAAATTAATGTTTCCATTCATCCACCACCCTCTTGGTTTCTTACTTCCTCTTCTCTTCCAGAGACCCCTCAATATTCCACCACTGTTATCAGTTTGGCCTGTATCCTTCTAGATGTTTTAAAATACTTT